ACCGAAATTCCATATTGGTCTGATTTTAAAAGTGCCTTTTCCATAGCATTTCTACCAAGCAACAGTGACAGCACTTCTCATGCAGAACAAATCTTAACTAGGTTGGTCATCACTTTGTCAAGAGTAAAGCCTTTAGTTTGTAGATACTGCTGTGTAAGATTAACTTCTTCAAGCTGATCAGCCCAAAGTGGCCAAAGGAAACGGTTGCAGATACACGTGAAATCACATATAGCATGTGAAAGACCTTGTGCTATACCTCTTGTATGCAAATTTCAAGAATATCACATGGAACTTCTTCAATCGCCACCACACATTCATCAAACTTATCTTTCATTGTTTTTACAGTAGCATGATGAGCACTCCAACTTGTTGACAGTCTTTTCACTTCTATTCTAGTGTGTTCAGTTTGGATAGGTTATACATGTGGAAAATTTACATGTGATTGGTTATCCTTTTATGAAATTCATTAAGAATGAGCATTGCATGCTCTGATAATATGCAATTTTTCAATTTGGTGTCAACCCCCCGAGATGGTGTCACCCGGTGTGTTCTGAACCCCCCTAGCTACACCACTGTTAAGTAACTACCCAACAAAGTGATTAAGTGTCCTATTTACTTTTTTTTAAATTAAACATTAAAATATTGAACAAATAGTTACCCTGACAGAGAATATTAAGCGCTTATTTTTACAATAAAAATTATTTTGTTTTAAATCAAATGTAATAGAATAATTTTGAGGAAGTGCTGCTTGTAAAGTAATTGAGACTACAAAATTGTACCTTTCATTTGCGCATTTTTGACTTATGAAGCAATGACTTACTTAAAATAAATGAGAATGTCTTCAATTATTGCAATAAAAAGGTAAACTTTTTTAACAATGCTTTGTGTTACCTACTGTTATACCACACATTGATAAAATATTGAATCTGTGGTTTAATAAAATAGCTAACTAGTCGTTTGTCTAACAGTAACACTAATTTAAAATTTGTCAAATATGATATAGTCGCTGTAACTCTCTAAATCTGGGGTGTCAAACTCAATCGCTCAGCGAGCCAAAACTCAAATCACACATAAGGTTGCAGGCCCAACAGGATAAACATTTAATACGCGGAAAATTAAACCTTTTTAAACATTATTATAAAAAATACAGAAAAGAGTGTTAATAATAAAAAATCTTTGGCATACCCATTTTGGTTCTTACTCTTATGCCACTTTGTCAGAGCTGGATGTTTGGCATCATTTCTTGGCTCTTGCCCACAAGTTCGTTTATTTTGGGAGTAATATTATGTGTCATTGAGATTCTCATGATGGACTGCAAATCTTTATCTGTGAGATGACTCCTGTGTGATGTTTTGTCAATCATCATCACAGCAACCAGCTGCTCACACAGATATGTGCTATCCAACATCCTCAAGGTTCGAGCCGCATGTAGATAAAGCTTGGGGCATCTCTTCGGGAATGAAATAAGTGAACTGTGCAGGCCCACAGTGTCGTACTTTGCCTTTAGTGTCCCATTACACTATTTTTTACACTGCAGCTCTATTGCTCCATCTACAAATTTACAGGTGCAGTTTCCACATCTATGACAAATGGAACTAAAAACTTTCCACCAACTTAGCCACAGAACCTCAGTATGATTAAGGCATGTTGCCGAACTCTTGAGTCTATTTCTTGCACACAAAAAAATACTTAAATTTAAACCTTTGACTCTGATAAAGTTCAAGGATTTTGTTAGTTACAATGCTCATTTCACCTTCCATGTTGAGGAATTTACCATACAGCGATCCTTGGTGTATGATGCGGTAATATGCTATCAATTCACCAGTACAGTTTCCCTGCATCTTTAAACGCCTCCTTCCAACTAGTCTTACTTTTTTCGACACAAATCGCTGGTGATCCATCTGTTGTAAGTCCAACAAGTTTGTCCCAAGGCAGGTTCATCTTGGTTAAACTTTGACATTCCAAACATCCACTCACTACATAACTTTTATTTTCGCTTATTCTGGTCAAAGCGAGAACGCTCTCAGGTAGCCTATGTTTCCGCAAGGCTGCCAATTAGGGAATTTGATTTGCATTTTATAGCACAGGGCCATTGAAAATTATTGTTGCCTAAAATTCTCTCGGGCCGGATATAATTTATGCCGATCAAGACCCCTCAGGCCTGGTATAATTGTAGGCCGGCCTGAGGGGCCTGAGTTTGACACACATGCTCTAAATGCATTGGACCATTTTTGGGAAAATAGGTCTTTTCAATTTTATTAAAGATCTAAGACTTCAGATGTCCTGTTAAAATTTTGAAAATTGAATTGGCAGGAACTTAATGTGCTTTTTTTGTCACATGATCTGACCAAATGTTTTAAAAGTTTGCATCACCTTAAAACTCATAACACTTATGTGTTTTAAATCCCTGCACATCTGGAGTTACACGGAGAATTTTAATATCGCTTGTCATGCTCAAAACCCATATACACATATGTCCCACAAATTATTGCATGGTCTGTAGTGGTAATACGCCTTACTTGTTTATTAGTATTACAATACATTATAATGTCTATTATTCATTTTCTTATCAGCTATTTATTATGCTATTTAAGCGTGTTCTTATATTTATGCTAATGTCTGAGATAGAATATAATTTTATTTAAAGCAAGTAGGGGAGAACTTGGTGAATAAAATGTTGCCCATAATGTAATAATTCATAATGGGAGGTCAGATTATTAATAATTAATGATATGTTTGTTTGTTGCTTTCTCTTTGTGTTCTGAAATGAGAATGACACAGAATTGAATGTTGGGGAGAAACAATAATTATTGTTATTCTTTACACAGTTTTTTAGCAAAATATCAGATAGCTTTAAATTTAAAATGATAACTTATTAAACTTTTAATAACGAAGCCTATCCCAGAATTTTCCCCCATTGATTGTTGTCACACATGATCACAAGATGTTGTCCCACATGTGGTTGCAGGATAGCCAACTTAACTCTAACCACAGTCCTGGAACCTGATTTACCCTCAGTTCCTGATTCAACTCAAGTTTATTTTGGACTCAACTCTACAGCAAGTCAAGAGACTCTAATCAGGGCATCATATAATCATTCCTTCCCAACCATTAAAACGTACCCTTGCTGATGTTTCATTCTCTGAACTGTTTCCATTAATGTGAATAATTTAGATTTGACATTTGAATGTATTGTTACACAATGATGTGGGACATTGTAGAGGTATTTAGTTGTGAGATTAAAACAAGGAAAAGAACTGAGGCGGTTGGAGATAACTTAGACCTGATGAACAGAATGGAACTTCGGTTTGCATGATGGTTCCAAAAAGCAGAATATAATTTATGTTACCGGTAATGAAAAAGTAAGAAGAAAACTGGCTAATAGGTGTGCATGCAAATCTCAATTAAATGCATGTAAAGATGCAGTGTGTAGTGCTGAAGACAGAGAGGAATGGAGGAGGATGGTTCACATGTCATCTGTGGCGCCCCAACGGTCCAAGGGACATGAGGATGAGGAGGAAAGATATAAAAGATAGAAAACACAGTTTTGATCATGTAAATATGGTCACTAAGTTCGCAAGAAAGAAATGAATTTATCTGTGGATATGATGAAGTCCTTGTTAAATGCAGAAAAGCAAACAAAGTAGTTCTAGAAGAACTCTTTTTAGTACTTTCTTAAGACGGGGGCAGAGTGAGAGTGTGTTTCAAAATGATCTTGTCAACCACTGGACTATGTGAATGGTGTATGAGAAAACACATCAAAGCATAAAACAAAGAAGATACTTCATGAAAAAACCTCTTCTGATACCGATGGGCGAGTTCATTTGAAAGGTTTTCTTCAAATGCTTCCTAAAGAAGATTCATACAACTATATGTAGTTCAAAAATATATTTGGAGCCAGTATCTCAGAGTCTGAGTGATTTTTAGCATTCATACCAGACATTTTGGAGAGAGGAAATTCTGGATATTCTTAGTCATCCAGTTTTAATAAAGGAATTTGTTAACATGAACCTGTCCTTGTTTAAACCAAAAAAATAATCACTGTCAATGTCATGATGTGCGTTAGCTATCAGAAGGGAAATGTTGCAGAGGAACCATTCCAGAAAAAAAAAGATTGAGCCCATATAGAGAAAGTTGGAGATAGAGCTCTTAAAGATGAAAAGTAAAAAATTATCATAATGTACCTGCAATGAGTACTTTTATGCCCAATATTAAAAACTTCTTCTTTATATTATCGCAGCAAACTATGCTCTCACAACTTAACCATTTTTTACTAATATCGCTTGATTTTGTATGCTAAGTTTGGCATCAAGGAGAACACATTAGCCTCATGCATAATTGACTACTTGGAGAGTGATCCTTTTGAAAAGTGCAACATCTACTCTGATGGTTATGCATATCTGAACAGAAACAAGACATTAGTGTCTGCTCTCTCCATATTTTCAGCAAAATGTCATGGAGCAGAAAATTTACCCAGATGGCAATATCAACTACAAAATTATTTGATGATACTAGATAACACTACAGATGAAGAGGACGCAGCCTACAGCTCTCATAGTTAGCCCGCTAAAGCTATGCAAGCAGCAGAAAAATTGCAGTCTCAAAGTTCAATTTGCTGAGTTGAAAGCTGGTCCTACCATCCGGCTGTTAGTAATTTTATGATAACTTAAATCATGGAGTTAATAAAATTAAACTTACATCAATAACTTCTTATAACTTTTGTCAAGCTTATTTCTAATAAGTCATAATTTGATGTGTACTACTTTAAATGTATTCTAGTTTCTTTACCTAACTGGTTTTCTGAAGCTTGTACTTGTAATGAAAAATTTAAAATTTATTTATCAAATTTCTGTGTTTTTATTTTATATCTTATTTATGTAAAATACTTTGCAAAAGTGTAATAATTTAATGTCTAAATTTACTCTTTTTTTTAAAAATAATAATCCAATGCGTTTAGAGTTAACAATTTAGTATTTAATTTACAAAAACACTGGTGAATTTAACTCATTCAATAACAAGTTGATCTTAAATTCTGTTTGAAAACATGGTTTATGATGAAATTTTTTTTCATAGGAATAGTAATCAAAACACATAAGTAAAATCCTAATGCCACTGCTGTTCCGTTGATGAAAGCTCTAACTCTAATCATGTAAAGTGAATTTATGTGCGTAGAGCCCAGCCCAAGCTCTGAACCGTTTATAACTTTCAAATTTTCAACTTAACAGTAAGTCCATTTTCTCCGTTAAATACAACTAACACAGTATTTTTCATTACATTTAAATATTGATATAAAGGACTTTAATTTTACATCATTGTGAGCCACGTGAAGTTTTAACCAAATTTGCAAAAGTTTAGTTTTTAGTGCCTCCTGTCAAATTTGGAAAACTGAACTTGAGCATTAGGAGAATGACCGGAGACATGCAACTATCAATCATTTGAAACTGATTGTCCTGTTCATTCTCTGGAGCAGTCTTCCTTAACCAATATTTTGAAAAGATTTAATCAGTTTCTACTCTCTGATGTTTTAAATACATAGGGTTATCTTGAACTGGATCTAAATGAGTACATTAAACCATTGACTAATACACTACTGCAGACATTTTTTGCAAATACTTAAAATACTTGTGTACTTTACTGCTCAATTACCAAGCCGAACAATGAAAGAACTGACCATGGTGACCATGCATAGGGCCTCCACAGATTGTCATTTTGGTGTTGAGCTGCATTTCTCATTTGAACATTTTCATTACTTTCTCAATTCATTACAAAGGCTCCCAGAATAAATCAATGAACTTCTTATTAAAGACAGCCATTAACAATGTACATTTATTTTCTTTTAAAACTGACAGCAAAATTACGGCATACAAAGAAAAAGAATTTATGTCTACAGAATCAAGATGATTTTAACATCTTTCTTGACTTGGGCTTTTTAGTGCCCTTAGGCTTGTACGTGGATGTTACAGTCTTTCTTTTCTTGTTACCCCTTTCCTTGGATATACGCTTCCGCTTAACCGATTCCTTCTTTTGCTCCTCTCCATCCCTTATGACCATAATCTTCCCATTAGGATAGACTTTGACTTTTGCACCAAATAGTGTTGAAATTTCTTCTGCCTCAACATCACCCTTGTTAGACTTTTCTTTAGGAATAGCAATATCTTGTGGCCCACCTGAAATTGATGTATTATTTATCCAAATTATATATTCTATGGAATACATAGTGGCATATTGATGTTTCTTTTACTTATTATTTTGAATGATTACAAGCTTTAAGAAAGAGATAAAAAAGAGTTGTAACATTTTCAACATTGTGTGAAATAATTTACTTATAACATTTGTTCATAATTTTAAAAATCAACATTTTCCTAAAGTTTTAACAAACTATGAATGTGTCAGTGTGAACAAAAATCACTTTGTGGTACCGGTACCCAAATAATAATAAAGAAAGTATTTGAAAGAGTTATTTCATAAAATCTAAAATTCTACAATAAAATTTTACTGATTGTATATTTAAATATACTTACCGTCACTGATATATATGGGAACACTCATAGATGTCCTAGACTTTAAGTTCAACTGTTTAATGTTACTTGCACCTCCTCCTACAGCAGCAGCTATTTGATCTACAGCTGCTATAATATTTTCTGTGATATCTGCAGGTGCCATCTGAAGTTGACCCACAACTGTAGTGCTAATATTTAAAGTAATTTAATTAAAAACTCAATTTTTGATCAATACAAATAGGTCTTGGCCTTGATAAAATTAATAAACTAAGAATCATGTACAATCATGAAATATAGTTATTTCTGTGATCTCTTATAGATATTTTGCTTGTGGTGTGACAGCTCCCATTTCCGGATAGCGAGCAAAGTATAATTCCCAATAACTAAGTTAAATTTTTTTTTTTTAAAATAATGCAAAAGCGTTGAGTGCGTAATATTTTATTTTCTAAAATGAAATCATCTCAATTTAAATATAGTGCAATAAATATTTGGTTTAAAAGTGGTTGGGACATCAGAATATTGATATAGTTCATGGGCGTGAAATAAAAAATGTGCAGCAGCATATCAGGGGGGGGAATGGGGATGTAGCTAAATTTGGGATTCTTAAATGTGCGTTACTTGAGTTCATCTTTTGTCAAGCAACTTTAGTAGATGGGAAGTTCATGCACTGCTGTCGCCAATGTTTGGCGAGCTATAACTTGTATTAAATAACAGTTAACCTCCATCAAACAACTATTTAACCTCCAAAATAACTTCATGTGCATTTAATGTAAAAATTGGTCAGCAAATTTACAGAATTAAAAAATCACATAGGTGGCTAATTTTAGAAAACAGCAATTTACTATACCTTGATGCTCCTTTGGAGCTTATAATACATCTGCTGCTACCAATGGCTTCATCAATCTCTTTTGACAAATTTTTTATCTGCAAGTTAACCTGAACCGGGGTCCTGTCCAAAATATTTAAAAACAATTATGAAAGGATTGTAGTTCAATTCCAAAGTTCACTAACTACTTAGGTAATATAATTTTAGGAGAACGTTTACAATCAGCTAATGCAACTTTGAAATATAATTGATTTAACAATTTAAAACATATACATGCCATGTATATATAATTTTTAATTGTAATTTTTAGTAAACAAAAATGAAACACACTTTTTTTTCCCATAGAAATGTTTCCCTAAGTAAGTAGGCAAAAGTCTGATAATCCTAGCATCTGCAAGAAATATATCGTATGCATTGGATAAATTCCTCTTTGCTTCATAAGGTTTGTATTCTGTCTTCAATGATTTAAGGGGAATAATCTGAAAAAGATGAGGGATATATTTTTAATAAATAAACTCAAATGAAAACTCAACATTTCATTGACAATAAATTTATTTATATTATTGGTGTCATAAATAATACATATTGTTTTATTTATTTAAATATGTATATTTACAAAATATAATTTATTTAATGAAATACATTTACCCATTATGCAATTGTTTCATTTTATACAAAAAATAAGATTTCAAGTACTTACATCAGTGACAGCATTTACACCATTTTTTTTTAGTAAATCCTGAAAATGTCTAACAGTTGACTCATAATCCCTCTCTTCTCTATTCAAGTCTTTGACAAAAAGGCAAACATCCAAGTCAGGACGTTGTAAGGCATGTGGTAAAATCCTTTTAATATAATATATAAGTATAAGTCAAATACAATTAATCTATTCATAACAGCTCCACTTTCAGCAACATCAACAATTAGAATTTTTTGAAAGATTTTAAGTAATCAAGATATACTACCGGTACTGGTAGTTTGAATAAGGCAACAAGGAGTAATAACAATATTTCAAAATAACAAACTTTCTATTTAAGACTAATTTTACCAAATTAATAAGATAAGTTGAACAACTTACAGTTTGATTGATTTTTCTTTATGGGGAATTTTTTTAAGACAGACTTGCATTTGAAAGATATCTAGTTCCTCAAGAAGAGAATCTTTTTTTTCTGCACTCTTTACAACTTCTTGCAAGACTTCTACAGCTTTTGAGATCTTTAAAAAAAAAAAGCAAATGGTTATTATTTATTTTTTGGGGGAGTCAAAGTCAAAAGCTTTTATATTCCTATCACCTAACTAGCCCCAAATTGTCAAATAAAATCAACCGCCCCCCGCCCCCCCCCAACTCAACCAAGGCTTCAAAGTGACTATCTATATATATCGAGCACTCTGAGAGAAAAAAGGATGGTGGGAGCGTGCGTAACGCTGATAATCAGTGTCGTAAAACATGTTAGAAATCCATTAGAAGAGAGGTTTATCATTATCCAACATCTATATATATAAAAATGAATGTCTGTATGTATGTCCCGTATGCGCTCCTACACCATTCATGCTATTACAATAAAACTTTGGTGAGTTGTTATCCATTAGTCCACGCATTTTTCTGAGTCATTATAACTGTTTAAAATATTCTGTTTTGGGCCGTAAACGGACCTTAATTCGTTTTCTTTTTTATATGAACGTTGTACAAAAAAAATTCCGTATGCGCTCCTATACCATTTATCAGAATGCGATAATAATTTAGTGAGATGTTGTGCACACGCCCGCAAAGGTTTTTGAATTATTACAACCATTTTAAAATATTCCGTTTTGAGCCAGGGGGTCCTATGTTAGTTTTTTCTTATATAAGCTATATAAATATAATTTCAAACTGTATGCGGTCCTACACCATTCATGCGATTGCAATAAAGATTTACAGAGTTGTTGTCCACAAACCTGCACATTTTTCTGAGTCATTACATACCTTTTACAATATTTCGTTTTTTTTCCTTATATGAGCTTTGTAAAATATCATTTCCGTAAACGCTCCTTAATCATTTATCAGAATGCCATAAAACGTTTGCGAGTTGTTGCGTGCACACCCACAAAGGTTTTTGAATTATAACAACCATTTGGAAACATTCCATTTTGAGTCAGGGTGCCTAAATTCGTTTTTTCTTATATGAGCTATATAAATATAATTTCAAACAGAGCTAATGCATAGATGGATAGAATTTTAATGAAATATAAATAGCGACATTAACTTTTTTGAGTGACATAATAAGTAGGTTTCTGAAGTAATACCACAATTCTACAATATTCCATTTGTGGCCGGGGGCCCTAAATTTGTTTTATCCCCTTATATTATCTAAATAAATATAAATATAATTATCGTATGCATTCTTATACCATTCATTCGATTGCTATAAAACTTTGATAATTGAAATGTGCACTCCCGCAAAGGTTTCTAAATTAGAACGATCAATATACAATATTCCGTTTAGGGCCATTGGCCCTAATTTCGTTTTTTCTTATAAGAGCTATATAACTATAATTTCAAACAGAGCTATTGCATAGGTGGATTGAATTTAATCAATACAAAGGACGACATTTCAGTTTGTAAGTTACTAAGTAAGTAGTTTCTGAATTAGTACCACCATTGTTCAATATCCGGTTTTTGGGCGGGGCGCCCTAAATTCTTTTTTATTTACTATATTGGTGCTATAAAAATATAATTTCCATTTGCGTCCCTTTACTGTTCATCCGACTATAATAAGAAGATGGCAAGTTGTGCGCAGGCCCACAAAGGTTTCTATTTTAGTAAAACCATTTAAAAATATTACGTTTGGGGCCATGAGCCCTAAATTCTATTTTTTTCTTATTTGAACTATAAAAATATAATTTCAAACAGAGCTATTGCATGGGTGGATTGAATTGAATCCGCCCACAATTTTTTTTTCTTTAGTACAACCATTTTACAATATTCCGTTTGGGGCCGGGGGCCCTAAAATCCATTTTATTCTTATTTGAACTATAAAAATATAATTTCAAACAGAGCTATTGCATGGTTGGATGGAATTGAATAAAATACAAATAACAACATTTCAGTTTCTTTGTTGCATAATAATTATGTTTCTGAATCAATGCAACCATTTTACAATATTTCGTTTGGGCTGGGGGCCTTTACATTTGTTTTGTTTTCTTAAATGAGCTTCATCAATATAATTTCAAACAGAGCTATCAACACAACAAAATTCGATTGTTCACAACCGCCCTTAACAAATGCCAACAGACAGCAAATTTGTAGTGAGAGCAGAGAAAACATGTTTTTGCATGTTTAGTGTAGAGTATTTGTGTTGTTTTTATAAATAAGCTTGAAGTTTGTGACGTATTTTAGAATCGGATATGACATTGTAAACGTGTTGTGGTTTTGAATAGCAATCATTGAGTAATATATATAAGAATGAGTTATGCTGACCGTAATGCTTAAGAACCGAAAATATTTGGATATGTTCATATTCTTAAAAACTATTATAGTTATTTTCTATTATTTTACGGAAATCGAATCAATTTAAATGCGCTAAAATTATTATATATCCGCTTTTATTTTAGCAAAAGTTTAAGCATTATTATTATAAATTACAAATACATTTTAAGTAATAACTATGGAACTATTTTAAACATTGTATCTGAATGTAAAAGTTTTGAAAAAAAAATATTGATAAAAAAATTATGATCTCAGAATTGCATCGTAATCACATTTGTTGGGAAAACCCAAACATCTGATATTTTTAGTGCCTTTTTAATATTGCAAATAAAATAAAATTTATTTGATTTTAATAAATACACAAATGACTTCATCGTGTGAATCTTCTATTTTAGCCATAGCTCTTAGTTTCTTTGATTTAATAACTCTGCTTAACAAAACTGATAATGTATTTTCCCCTTCTTAGAAGTAAAATGAATAAATATAATTGATTGCTTTTTAAATTGCTAAAATTTGCTAAAATTAAATACTTCTTAAGCTTTGTATTTTTAACATTTAATAAGTTTTTACTTTTTATTCATTCCAAAAATATACTTTTATGAAATTTATAAAGTAGTACAAATGTAACCTTTAAATATACTTTAAAAAGAAACGCTGTTTAATTCAATCAGTGCAGCAAAATTTCATAGCCAAATAGCCTTCACTAATGCACTTATCACTCATCCAAATCAGAACAAAGCATATGAAATGAAAAAATTTGTTTTTGGGAAGTAAAGGGGGTTTCAATCCAGTGGATGATTTTATTAATTTTTTTTTTAAATCTTTGGTTTGGGGGGGCGTAATAGATACTTTTATTTGCCCAAGGCAGCACAAGATACACCTCAGAATGTAATTGATAAATAATTAATCTTCTTAGTTACATATATATAGGGAGCAGGAAATAGGGTGTGAACATTTTTACTTGGATGACAATATCTTTAAATCCAATCATAATACAGGTCTGAAAAAAAGATGCTATATTCTCGTTTTACCACCTAAGAAAATCAAGGATGTTAACAAAACCTAAGTAAATTTACATAATTATACTCATATCAAAACCCTATCATTTTATACAAGTGAAAATTTAATTTTCAAATTAGAGATTAATTAAGATTTTCTTAGATAGATAGATAAATAGATGATAAATAGATAGAGAGACAGACCAATAGATTAGATAGATGGATGGATGGATAAACAGAATGACATAGCGCTTCCTTGAATAGTTGAGCACAAGGTTATCTTTTATTCGACAAACTATATCTATACATAATGTATAAAAATTAATGTATGTATGTATGTCCCGTATGCACTCCTATACCATACATCGGATAGCGATAAAACTTTTGTGAGTTGTCCATACGCCTGAAAATATTTCTGAATTTTTACAAACATTTTACAATATTTCGTTTTGGGCCCTTAATTCTTTTCTTCCCCCTTTTATGAGTTTAATATAGTTTCCGTTTGTGTTCCTATACCATTCATCCGATTGCAATAAATCTTTGGTAAGTTGTTGTGCTCCCACCCGCAAAGGTTTCTAAATTAGGTTATCCATTTTGAAATATTCATTTTGGGGCCGGGGGCCCTAAATTATATTTTCTTACATGATTTATACAAATATTATTTCAAACAGAGCTATTGCATGGGTGGATTGAATTGAATGAAGTACAAGCGACATTTCAGTTTGTGTCTGAATAAGTAAGTTTCTGAATTAGTACAACCATTTTACAATTTTGCGTTTGGGGCCAGGGGCCTTATTTTATATTTTTTTTTATGTGAGCTATATAAAAATAATTTCAAACAGAGCTACTGCATCGGTATAAGTTTTTGAAAGTTTTTGAATTTTGAAAATCCACGCTTCTCATGTGGACAGTTGTATGTTGCGTGCTCACGCGTTGGAAAACCTATAACATTTGTGTATGAACCAGACGGAATTTTGTTAAATTTTCTAATTAAAACGTAATTAAAACACAAACACTTTTTTTCTTTGAGTGGCATTGCAACACATGCCGGTTCTCGCTAGTTGTTTTATAAATTTACATTGATACAACCAGGTGTTTTATAAATTTACATTGATACAACCAGGGCTGGCGCTAGACATTTTTAGGTTGGGTGAAAATAGGCAATAGTCGCCCTCTGGAAAATTGTGGGAAGAGTTCAGAAAACTTTTATTTTAATGGTTTGGGGGCCTTGGCGCCTGTGTGATGATCAGGCATCCAACCCGCCCTGAGCCGGCCCTGGGTAAAACTATTTATGTGAGTGTGTGCAGCCAGGTGGGAAGGTCTAAGGTTACACCATTAGTTAATACTTAATCGCATTAAATAGTTTTAATGCCACCACTTAGCCAAGCTTACAACCCACCCTCACAACCCAAGCTATGGCACAGTCAATAATGAAATGGGCCTACACCAAAAAGTTCCAAATTTATTGTCAATTATTATAGCCTAAGATTTATACATAAATGAAGTTGAAGGCTAGATTACGGTATGTACAACTTCGTTAATTGGTGGATGTTAGCCAAAATCCTTCCTGATCTCACTGAGGAACAAGATCCTAATGGGGAACGGGATCCAACTGAAAAATAGGATCCAATCTAGTGAAGTATCACAACAGAAAATAGGTCCCAACCTGAATGGGATGACACAGAGAACAAGATCCCTCCAAGGAATGGGATCCACCAAGGAATGGGATCCACCAAGGAATGGGATCCACCAAGGAATGGGATCCCACTGGAGAACAGGACACCACCGGGTACCGGAATCCTAATGGGAATATAAATCCTACCAAGAACAGGATCTCAACCTGTCATGGGTATGAGAATCACTGTTGTTATGTGTAGATCACTGTTGTCATGTTTGATAGGGAAAAGATGTATAGTTAGAGACTTAATGTGTAGCTGTATCTATTGTGTGAAAGTGTTGTGACGTATTTGTGTAAAGGGAAATGACGCGTTAGTTTTCGTTGTTTGGAAGGATTGATGGCGGATATACTGGATGAACTGTTTGGATTTGTGTATTGAGTAGTGTTTGGTTGGAGTGATTTGATTATCAATTCTGAAATTATACATCAACCATAGTTAATGGAGTAGTGTTAAATAAACTCATATCTAGCTACAAACCTATTAACGTTGGTTGCATTAGTAACTGTTGATATTAGCTATACTGTTGTGGGATCAAGTGAGAGGCTTGGCCAGATAATTAGAACACAACAGGTTCAACGGTTTGACAAACGGGTTCGGGTTCCTACCAGGAAATTGGATCCCATCGAGATAGGGATCCCCTTGGGTTGGGATCCCAATGGGGTTGGAGTTCCACCAGGAACGGGATCCCATTTCCCCTTTTGGGAAACGGGATCCTATTTATTCAGGATCTCACGGAGATCGGGATCCCATACTAGGAAATGGAATCACAACTCAGTTGTCAACTGGGAAGGGATCCCACTGAGAATCAGGATACCTTTCAAATCGTATTTTATGAATGTTTTTTAGGGGAGAAAATGTTTTTAAAAAACATTATTCATGTGTTTTTACAGGCCCATTAATTTAGATGTTAGCTAAAGGGCTAAAGAAAAAATGTTCATTTCTGAACGTCATCATGAGTGACGCAGTGCATATTGTCTAGTTTTAGGAAAAATTAAAATTATGAGTTCATAACCCTTCAGTACTGTTATTTGAATATGGATAATCAAGTGTATGTCTACTAAGTTTGATCTAGATCTATTCACCCATCATGCAGGATGCTTTGTTTGGAATTATAATTATACATCTCATATAAGAAAAAAAAGGAAAATTTGGCCCCTTTCCCAAAACGGAACATCTTAGTTCACACCCCTCACCCTTCTTTTTTTTTTTTTTTCCATTATTTCTTTCTTTTTTTTTTTTTTTCCAGTATTTCATTCTTTTTTGTAAATATGCCTCCATTTTATAAATTTCGTTTAGCATACTAACTTATAAATCTGGCCAGAGGGTGAAAAAAAAAACTAAAAATAAATGATAAGTGCCTATACTATGTAACTTTGGTTGGGGGATGTTTAAAGAAGCTTAAGAAATCAAATAAAAAGAAAAAAGTGCTGTCTGTATAATTGAAATAATTCGGTATTAGTTAACTATTACTGCCAGTACTACTGTATTTAATTAATAAAGAATACACATAAGTTTATATGAGAAAATACGAAATGTGATTCCTTAAGACTTGAACTGCACTTTTGAATTGCATCTAAAAATTTAGCTCACACTCACACCTGTGGCCTAAAGTCTAAAGAAAGTAAACTAAAAGTTTCACAGTAGAGTCTGAGTAGAATGTGGTAGTAGTAGTAGTATGAGTAGTAGCCACCATATTGATAAAATAATTATTATAATCAGTCACGGTCAGTGAATCAGTGCTAGTCACGGTCAGTGAATCAGTGCTATTCGTAGACAGTGACACACAGATAATTTTTTGGTAATATTTGTTTAGCAACTAAGTTTACTAAGTAACTAATGAAAAGGCAGTAATTCCATCATTATTAATTATTAATGATTCATGCACTTTTAGTTTTAGTTAAATAAAAAGTAACATATTTTTCCTTGGATATGTACTTTACCTTCGCCTTATTGAGTTGAATGCTTGCCATTTTGTTAGTAGCCTGAAATTGTTCAGTTTACTAATCAATACTAATCATTCATGGACAACTCAATCTCCAATTCTCCAAAATATTCACTAAATAGTGTGTTTATGGCAAACCGGAAACATGTGCTGGTGATAGGCCAGTAAAAGTAACGGTGTAAAGGTACTGTCACTACAATAAAATTTATACAATCTAATCTGGTTGCATTGGAATCACACGAAATCTGTAATGACTAGCCAAAAAAACGGGCGGTCGCAATGCGTGAACCTTATATTATATATAATTATTTTTTAATAATATTTTTCAATTTTTTATTTATCAATATCTTTTTCTTGAAGTAGTTTGGTATATATTTTTTTATCTCAAATAAAATATACAAATCACTAATGATAAACGAAATTGTTAAGGAAAATATTTTTGTGAACTTCCCCAGTGCCATTTAGTCTATCGTCTGCATAGTAAAACGTCTCGGCAGTTGAAACGACTGCATAGTAAATTTCAAATCCTATTGGTATGTTACTTTCTCATCATTAAGGGGGCCATCCAAATAGTATGCACGCACGGGAAAGGGGGGACTCTATTTTGGAGATATTGGGTATGCGTGCGTATGGCTTTGGGGGTTGGGGGGGGGGATTTCGACAGAATGTACGTAGTTTTATTAACAAATTATGCAATAGTTTTCCTGACATTATGCAGTCCATAATTAACCAAGCTACCGTACGTATATGTCAATTGATGTAAAAATTTGAGGAAATTTTAAGGGGGGACTCTATTTTGGAGATATTGGGTATGCGTGCGTATGGCTTTGGGGGTTGGGGGGGGGGGATTTCGACAGAATGTACGTAGTTTTATTAACAAATTATGCAATAGTTTTCCTGACATTATGCAGTCCATAAGTAACCCAGCTACCGTACGTATATGTCAATTGATGTAAAAATATGAGGAAATTTCTGTACGAATCATTCTCATAATATTGTCCTGTGTTTTCAAAAGCTAACTCGCTACATATCGCTATTGTAGTAGGTCTACCAGTATTAATATTTAGTCTACCGTAAATCCCGTGTGTCTGTGACTACGACTACGTATTTTGTTCGGCTACGCCAATGCCAATGGTTCCTAGAATTGTTCGATTTCCAGGCGTTCTTCCCAAATTTAGGTTTGGGCCACACCCTTTCAAAAACTTTGTATTAAATTCTTGCAAGAACACTTCGAAAAAGAGAATACATTTAAAAAATAATAAAATGAAAGGTTGGGTAAAAAACACACACAAAAACCAGGTCTGTACGTCATCTATTAACTGCAAAGTTATTTGTATTTCAGTGAGTTACTACTTTCACATGTAATATTTCGCCGTGCCCCAGTGAGGAATCCACGGAATCACAGGGCATGGCCGCGCAGAGGTAAAGCGGCGGACTGGGCGAAAATTGAATATGGCGTCCCTCAATAAATAGGAAAAAGAGGGCACTCGAGGCCGACTAGTAAATATAGCTATACGAGGATTTTTTTTTTTTTTTTTTTTAATCGTTGGGACGAGTGCCCCTTTACCCTCTTCTTATGGTCCTGTCCAAAGGCAATGCGGCGCCCAATGGTGACGTGGTTCATAGTCTGGGAATCACTGGGCTTGCCAAATATCGTTGAAAACACGTGACAAATGTTCACTATGACGTCATAATTATTTTATTTTTTTAAGTGGGGGAAGGCAAAAGCTCATTGTACACAAGCATTGGGGGGGGGGGGGGGGGG